CACCTCATGCGCGTGTGGCACCCCTCACTAGTAATTCACCCACATATCATAGTTCCATGCTCCATGTACTTGGTGAGTATGTTTTTTTTTTTTTAATTTGGTAGGTATTGAGCACAAGTTTGATATAAAGATAAACGTAATTTTTTGTAAATAATAATTTAATAATTCTTGAATATCTTCCTTTAAAATATATTAAATTGCACATTATGTAAGTTTTATATAAAATATCTTAAAATATAAAATCTGTATATGTGACTTAATATATTAAACGTGATATATTATCTTAGCAAATTTTATTCAATTTTATTAAATACTTGATTAATTTTTTAATTGAATATTAAAATTTAATTTACTAAATTAAATAGCTCATATAAAAATTGACAGACTCGTGCGCTGTATAATGACATTCATATGTTTTTGTTCGCTGCATGTTTGTGTTTGTGTGCTTTTGCAATGTGGTCGCTTTGCTTTAGCTAATCAATTGCAATTTTAATAATAATCTTCATGTAAATATTTTTAATTTTAACATATATTTAAGTGTGTACATAACACATACTGTACTTAACACATAAGATTCATAACCATATAAATCTTTCTCTTATGTGATTTCTAATCATAATATCTCTAAACAATTGTAATGCAGTAAGAGATAAATATTATAGTATAGTATAGTATTATAGTATAGTAAAGTTTATCACAATTGTAACATATTATAGGCATGATTTAAAATCTAACAAACTTTCAAAAAATTCATATTCAAAGATTATTTAGAAGACAATAATTTCCATATGGAATTTTATCAATCTAAGGAAAATGATTGTACTAATCTAAGAATATTTATTATCATTTTATTACCTACAAAACATATAAAGACATTTTTTTAATTGTTACAGACAATACTTTATTGACTTTACCTCCGGAATCCATACCACCTCAGGCGATCGTTCAACCACCACCCTATATTGCCCCACCGAAGCCCGAAGATCGGCAAAAGTCACAGAAATATCAAGAAAAGATCTTAAAAGATACGAAACTACCAAATCTGCGAACCTATTCCGAAAATGAGCAACCGATTGGGCAGGATCAAAAGCAAGATATCTATGATGTTCATCGAAATATCCAGCAATATGACAATCGCAGAAATCTCCTCGATCAGCAAAAGATGTCGAACTACGAGTATCAGCAACGAGCTTGCAACTATCAGACGGTGCATATGCACAATGCGAGAAACCAGCAGCTCTGTTCGCCGACCAGAGATATTAATCAACAGCAGTTTTACACGCTGCCGACGAGAAGGCCTCAACGAGAGATCGAACCACCTCGTAGCGTTACACCGGACATCACCAGAGGCCTAGGACGTGGTTCTCTCAGCAGCATGCATATGCTAGCGAAACAGGGTCAACAGAAAGTCACGATCGTAGAGAAAATGGAGCAAGTTCAACATATTCCTCATATAGATGCGGAGAGAAGAAATTTAGAACAAGCAGAGACAAAAAGCAGATTCGTGCAGAGTCAACCACAATCGGTCGTGGATGTCAGAAATAGGTAAGAATCGCAAGAAGAATTAATGGAAAAATAGAAGAGTCAAATCTTTTTTTGTTACACAATTTCACTCTTAAATCAATTAAGATGTAAATTATTTAGCATACATGTGTCAGAAGATTAAAAATTAATAAAATTATTGTCAATATCATAATATCATAATTGGTCATACTAGTTATTAAAATCTTTATCTTTATTATATCAAGACCGATAAAAAAAAGATAAATCATTTAAAAATAAATCATCTAATCTATTGCGATAATTATTATTCCTCATATTTCAAATGCTTTATTGTCTTATGCAGGTTCGCAACGCCTCTAAATCTAGCTGCACTCGGCTATCGATTCTTCGCATCTTCTCCTGCCAACGATCCTCTTATAAAGTCTCCTAACGCGGACATTTTGAGGAATAATCCAATTTCGCCGATCGGCCACGGCGGTTATGGAAATGGTTTCAAATCGTCCACTCCCACCAACCATTACGGACGATCGATGCCAACTGTGGCGGAACGTCTAGCTCTGACCACCGCCGGCGGCAATAATTGCTCGTCACCGATACCGACGAGTAGCTCCTCAGGTAGAAGCACTCCTATCCAGACTTCTTCCGGTAGAACGACACCGACCAATTTGGTCCTGTCGCCTACCAAAAGTACCATGTCCAACGAAGAGCTATTCGCCGCGATTCATAAATCTAAAAAAAGACTCAATATCAAGCTAAATGAGAATGACAATGAGAATGTGTCGCCGTATGGATCGATGAATTCCTTGTTGAAGACACCGGCTGGCACCAGGCACAGTTGGAGTCCGGAATCTCAAAAAGTTTCTTCAGAGGTAATTGCACTGATAACGAAAATCAGAAATATAAAGACAAATCGTATTCAATTCTATCAAACAAAAAAATTGACCATCATCTTTTTGTTATTTTATTTAAAATTAAAGAATAAACACTTGTTTATTTGATTTAATAACATAAATTAATATCTCTAATTTAAAAAACAATTTTATGTTTAAAAATTTTGCTATAATTCATTTCTGTCATTAATTTTGCTCAATCCATTTCAGATACCGACTACGGTGCAGTCGCCTACATCGCGGATGGATTTCAAACGTTTGCTTCTTCAACAGAGTGTAAAAGCTAATCCCATGCGATTATCGGCTGCAGAACAGCTAAAACTATCGCGCCATCAGTGTCAACAGCAACAGCAATCGTCGCCCAACGCTCATCAGAGTCCTTTAGCCAAAGTTTTGAGTCCACGCTCAGTCTGGAGATTCCAAACTCCAAGAACCGACGTCCTTTCGTCCACCATAATCGAGGATACCGCGGCGGAGGAGAAGGCTATGAAGCCCTCACCGGAAAATACATCTCCAATACATCTTTCAAGACTGAATTCCAGACGACAGCTAGATCTTTGCAGCGATTTACCAAATCACTTGCATGCTACCGATCACAAGGACAAAATCAACAATGATAGATTAACGACAGACAAGACATTAATGAACGAATTTCATAACATCGATCCCGCGATCAAATCGCTGAATCAAAACAACCAAATACGAGAATTAATCACAAACATATCTAACGATCCTGCAATAACCAACCAGGATTCGTTCTTGATACCTCGAAACGATATCGTCAGTACGACGATACGGTATTCGAAGGGCTCGATCGAATCCAAAAGTCAGGATCCCGTGAGTGCTCTCGAGTCAAGGAGGATCAGTAACCAACTGGCGAGAGCTCAGTTCCTAGCCAGCACACCAACGAGCACTAACCCGTCGCAAAATCTCTATTTCAGCAAGAGGTTCAGAGCGCGATCGGAATCTCCGCGACACGCGGTGACGCAAAACGTTGCACCGCCCGAGCGCAGCCCGAGTGCTCCTACCCTCGAAACCGCTCTGTGATTCGTAAATATATCGATATTCAGAAACAACAGCCTTGCAGAAGCGTATAAGAATTTAGCTCTTCATTATTGTGTGATGCATAATGTATATATTTGCTCTATTTAAGAAAAAAAAAATAGCGACACCTTAATAAGTTATATAATAAATTGTAGATAAAATATTTATATACAAGTTTGTTAAATATGTTAAATATTAAAACTGATTTAAATATACATATATGTACACATATATATATATATATATATATATATATATTACGATTATGTCTGTAAAAACTGCGTAATATCTTAATTGTGTTATAAATACCGTTCCCAATTTTTTTCTACAATTTTTCATCGAGAAAACAAGCTAACGCAAGTTGGAATTTTCTCTATAACAATATCTTATCTAACACATTAATGAAGAGTTAATAGCAAAGATAAGTTTCGCGAACATTTGAATCTACTCGGCATTTTACGCGATGTATTTAATCATGACCGGTTCAAATTGAATATTTTGCCGTAATTGGAGCAGCTTGCAGCTGCTAAGAGACAATAATTTATTATCGTGATATGATAACGATGGGGAAATTAGTATTATTTAGTGTATTGCAAGACTTCTTGCATAAAGTAAACAAAAACGTTCGGCGCGAAAACGTCGTTTCGATCTAACTATTAATCACACTTTATCGATCAAATATAAAATGGATTTGATGGCACGTAACGTTATGTTACGTAATTCAAATAACTCCGTTAAATCTCATGTACATAATTCAATCGAGTAATAAGCAATATAAATAGGATATTCTCGACGCTAATCTCAATCGAGTGCCTATTTCATATAATCGTTTTATAAGGAAACGTTTCACGTGTGTATAATATTACCAGTTTAGTCTCGAGTTAATATGTATAGATACAATATATTCAATATTTTCTTATTTTTTATGCTACGATGAGCAATCGTTTTCATAATGAAGAAAACAATTTTCTCACACGCGATCACGACGATCAAAAATTCTTAAAACAAAAAAGATGAAATTAATACTATAATCTCGTCTCAATAAATTTTTAAATATAAATGATATAAATGCGATACATTTTTTGCGTTATTGATGCAGTGAATTTTCGCATTCGCGAATCTAACTGAAGTTCTTTCATAACTTAATAAGACTCTTATCGTACCTTCATTCAAATCGAAATAAGTATTTTAATCACTTGGGGTATGTATGTATTATTAATTTATTTCACGAGAATTAAGAAGAACGTAGTAGCGGCGCGTGAAAATTAAGCACGACAAATCATGAATCGCTCATTATAAAAGTCGAATGGGTTGATCGTGGAATTATTATTAAAATTCTCGGAATTGTTGGCAAAATAATTATTCTTGGATTATTAATATTGGATACTGAATCATCTTGTCATAAATTTCTTTTATTTAAAAAAAATGAAGATAAAAATTCTAGCTGAGCGTACGATTTATTGTTCGCCGTGCGAGGCTCGTGATAAGGCTTGTGTATTAGCAGACCTGGATAGCCAAATCGGGAATTTAATAGTAAGATATTAATTTATTTGGAGTGGAGTTCGACAACAGCCCAATTCTTACTCTAAGTTCACTTCGACGAAAATTGTACATAAGTCGTACGCAGCGTAATCGTAAACCGATTTTAAGTCTCGATCGCTTGCTAGTCTAGTCGGGGTAGAATTTAGTATATACATATATATAAATAAAACTAAAAAAACACAAATAATATATATATATATATATATACATATATACACACACACACACACCTCGTTTTGGAGATTTTTTGGGCGGAAAAGTGCCGTTAATCACGTATGTAACTTATCGAATCGGTTTTGTACGATTATCGAATGGCGAATGGAATAAATATACAAAAATATATGTACGCGAGGATGAGAATGATATATATAGCATAATACAACAGAGTTGCCTTAATTAAATTATTTCAAGTTGCGTCAAGCGATTGTCAATGATGCATTTACCGATTACTCACGATCGCGCAAGGGATGGAAGTAATTTTGCAAATGTAACCCACTAGATCTTAAGCTGAAAACGTGTTTTGTACTTTGCTCAGAATAAACGAAAATATTTCATGAACCAATTTCATGAATTTGTCCTCGTCGCACCTCATGCTTTGCGCATGCAATTAACTTGTCACAATTTTCAAAAGTGACGAGTTAATGAAAAAGAGTGTGGTAATGTCGCTAACGCTGAACAACAAATTTTACATCATAGAAAAACATTCTCAGAATTTAATTATTATTATTATTATTATTATTATTATTATTAAATAAGCGTAGCAAAAATTGTATTTTCGTTCAACTGCATCTGTGTCTCGCAGTCGTTATTTTTTAAAAGATGCTACGGAAGAAGGCATCTCTCCTGGAATACATTTTATACTGATTTTTTTAAAATCCAATTAGAACGTTTTCAATCTCCGAAATTAATTAATCGAAAGATTATGCATTTATCTCTTTTACGATGTGGCTGAGATATATGGTACGCGAAAATATCGGATCGTCGCCGAATAATCTTTCAATATCGATTAACTGAATTAAAGTACTATTGAACTACGCGCGACTGACGAACGCGGTCGGACGCAACCTGTAATTAGTCGGATTTAAATCGTCGTATTTCAAAAGTTCTTAATTTTATCACAAATGTTGAGCTTGTTTTTTTAGTTAAATATCTTATACTATTTTTCTTCTTTTTCTTTCTAATATAGAGAGAAAAAAAAAAGGAAAGATGAATGATGTACAAAAATTTCGATTAAAAAAAAGTCTTATCATTAAAGACAGCTGGCCTTATTTATAGATTTTCATGATTATCAATCAGGAAACTATTTGTTAGAAAATTTTGATATGTACACCCCCCCCCCCAACACACACACACACACACACACACACACACACACACAA